ATCCGGCTACGCGTTAACGAAACCTCGACCTCTCCTACACCGAACTCGGCCTTCCAAAAATCGGCGACACAACACTTCTCTTCTTGGTCTCTTCTCCTTCTCCCCTCGGTGATATATACGCATACATACATTTAGAAACCTTATCGGTACACCCCATATATCACCGATCGTCAAAGAGGTCAAATGGCGGAGGCGCCGATCGAAGAACTATCAAAGGAAGCAGCAATAAATATACACCACGTCGAAGGAACCTCCTCATCCTGGACTGGTTTTAACGACAAGATGGAGAGATCGCACCTTTCCGGAGAAACCTGCGACCCCCCCGGGGCGAGCTTCGAAACCGAACATCGGGCTTAATTAATTCATCAATCGATTCATATATGGACTCGGGGTGAATTAGTGGGATCGTACCTTTCCGAGGAAACCTACGATCCGGCAGAAATATATCGAAATGACAGCGAAGTCTCTTTCCAAGAATGTTCTCTCTTTTTATTTGTCAAAGATACAGTGGATGTCAGGTGTTATGGTCAAGCGGGGCTACGTCTACTCTCTCGTTTTCCGCTCTTCTCCCGGTGTGTCTCGTTTTCCCTTCCGATTTTCTCGTCCCTAGTTCCGTTCCGCTTTCCGTTTAGATCGCTCTTCGCCGAGAGAGGCGCGACGGTCTACGCGGTTGTTTTTAATCTATGCCAAAGGACGTCGAAAACTCTCTCCCCTATCCTTCGGCCCCCGGTATAGAACTCTCAAGTGACGCCGCACTTCGCGCTACCGGCCTTTATATACTCGGCTACGTGACCGACGGCACATCCGATCGGCCAATCACCTGGGGCGGCAGAGTCCAAGGCTCCGGGTGCCTCCGCGTCGTTGGCTGTCTTCGGCTCCAGGGGAATCGGCCGCCGGGTCCTGCCAATCCTTCCTCCGAATCTCCCGAATCTCGTTTTTCTCTCCTCTACTTTTTTTTTGTCCTCCGTCCACCTTTCCTCTTCTAAATGTCATCCGCGTCATGCGGCGCGTGGCGAAATATAAACTCTTCATCGCGAGAAATATTAATCCTTTGTCGAGGACACGGGGAAAATTGACTCCTCTTTATGAATTCGTCAACTTAAAAATTATATCGAATTCAATTACAATTGGAATTGGACAAATGTCGAGTTACGTTATTAACCATCATTTCGACGGTCTGAAACCGATTTCGGACTTATGGCCATTTGGGAATAGATATTTTGCGGGGTACCTTAGGAAAGTGATCGCGAGAAATATAGATCGTATCGGGGAAACGGGGAAAATTGAATCCTCTTTATGAATTCGTCAACTTAAAAATCATATCAAATTCAATTACAATTAGAATTTGACAGATGTCAAGTTACGTTATTAACCATCATTTCGACGGTCTGAAACCAATTTCGGACTTATCGTCATTTGGAAATAGATGTTTCGCGGGGTTATCTTGGGAAAAAAATTCGATCCTGATAAAAGAGCAATAGATTATCATTTTCCGCTGATTTCCAGGACGAAGGGTTATCGGGAAACCTTGTTAACTTCTCATGCGAGCGAAATTTCGGTGAGTCAGTTGGACCTTGTTATCAATCAGTCAGAAAGAAAATGTTAACAGGGTTTCCGGCAGATCGTGCTCCGATTGTTCCCTTTACCGATTTCTCGCGATTTGTAGCCGTTCCGAGCTCAGATTCCGCACTGAACCGTAATGCGGAAGGCCGCAGTGACGGAAATGCAAAGGGGAGCGGTTTCCCTCGTTTTCGATTTTTTCTTAATTTTTCTTTTCCGCTTAATATTCTGCTCGCCGACAAAATTGCAACACTTAAAAATCAAAGTTGCGCATATCTGATAAGGGCATGTACCGTTTAGCATAATGGAAAGGAGACCGTACTGTAAATTAAATCACTGTCTCTTTACGTTTGATCCTAAACAGTGTGTACTATAATCTCCGATTTCCATGACTGTCATTTTAAGGTCTTGCAACTATTTCGGCGAGCAGGGTATAAGTGTCAAGATACGCGTAGATGATTTCAGAGGAATTTCCTTCGCCTACCTCCTTCGTCATTCTCCCAGGGCTCTTTTCCTTTTATCGGTAATTAGACGGACAAGAACAAATTGAATGAAATTGCCGGAAAGCCCTAAGTGCGCAAAACAGGGTCGGGTTTTTCGCCGCGAAATTACGTGACTTTTAAGGCGCCCGAGTCTCTTGACCGCAGGCGACACTGTCATTGAATGCCTTTGTCATTGACTTCGGTGATATCGAGTTCGTGCTCGGACTTCCTTCTTACCGAAACGTGTTACATAAAACGCGGTGGTCTATTGACTTGCCCCGACATCCGGAGTAATGGGCGTGACAAACGCAACGAAACGATCGATTGATTCCGCTCGAAGAGGTGACTGTCGTTCCGACATTTGCAAACACGTCGGATACGGTCTACCAGAAGCATAAAAGACTCCCCAAAAAATAGAATTTAAACCACCCCTCCAGAAGAAAAAAAAAATAAAACAAAATTATCAAGGCTCGCCTGACTAGTTCTTACATTTTGTTACTGCGGTGTAAAGAAAGATATATCTATAAATTCTAAAGAGATTCAGAAATCATTAGACGCGTTTTACGTCACCTGGGCTCCTGTTCTCGAGTTCTTACAAATTGTTTTTTCCATGCAAATCGCATAACAAAATGTCCCATGCAGAAATTTATGGTATGAACTCGAGAATCGCATGCGTGGTAATTTTATTCAATCGGTCTAAGGCCGAGCGAGGGTGGTAATTATTTTCAGGTAATTATACCGCGTGTCCTAGAGAACGAGCACGGCTTCGTCGGAAAACCTCGAGACGTCCCATTGGGTTGCAAAGGGATGGGGTCCCCCAAAAATGGCGCTAAAATAGGGGGCATTATTTCTAAATATATGTGTCAGAATCGACGAGATGGGGGAATAGTCGCGGGGCACTTTCAGGACTCGAGATCTCATTCTGGGACTATTGGGGCAATCCCGTGGGATGATGCCGGCAAGTGGGACACTTTGAGGATATGCCGGGAGATATTTCACGCGAGGCTAAGCACCGGGATTTTCACTTCGGGTCCATCCGGCCATTTCCTCCCGCGAAGGGGCCACTAAATCATGGAGTTCCGTTCCAGAAGTAAAAGTGAAGAAAGAAAAAAGAAAAACCCGGTTAAAGTGAAGATTTCTCAATTTTATCCGACTATTTGAAGGACAATTACGTGGCGTCGCAAATCATTCTAACGGAACGTAAGGATTGTTCTGCATGTATCATTTCTTCGGGAGGAAGGAGAAATGAAAAATCCATATTATACAATCCGTAAGTGTCTAGGGATAAATTGTTATTTTCACGTCAATTGTAATCCTGGCACAGGAGGGTGATATAACGCAACACGCGGGCGATGTGTGCTGGATGTCCTTGCCAGGATCGGTTCCCCATCTGACAAAGGAGGCACCCATCTAGGAATATTAATTGCAGGACGATCGATCGGGGGAATTATTTAGGACATGTAGATCCTAAACATTCCCACCGTGATTCCCGGTTTACCCGACTTCCCTGTAAGGACTCTAAAAAACGGGCGGCTTGAAAGTTTGCGTTGCAAAAGAGAAGAGAAAAAATCATTTCAGGTGGGAATAATAGGGAGGGTCGAAACCTATAATTAACGAGTTTATTTAATATCTGTTAAACTCAGGACCATTGTTGCCCGAGACAACAGAGACCACTATCCTCCTGCGATACCGGCATTAATGACAGACGCGTTTTATGCGCGCGAGTTATTTTGAGTACGTCGTAAGGATAATTGCAGCCTGCTTAATGTCACTCGCCTTCGAGCGGTACGTTCCTTTGTGCCGCGGATAGCAAAAAGTGGAATCGAAATGCGGGGATCTCCGCCAGTAGCACACTTCAGGTTCGAAGACCAGAATTTCTTCCTCGGAATACCGGTCGTCACGCGTTGGTATCCTTAAGGCCCTCCAAGGCCATTTTTTGGGACTGGGACCAATGGTACCAGCTACGCGGTGGCCATCATATTTCCGTCTAAAGTATCATGCCATATCCCTAATTAAAATGAAAAATAAATTAAAACCGTACCCAAGGACTAAGGAAGCGGAAGATATCTAGGTTGAAGGATACTCCGAAGGAATCTGATCACCAGGGCCATTTTTCGGGGGTTCATTGATACCAGCTACGCAATTGACGGTCGAACGAGTACAAACGTCAGGGTCCACGTGGTACCATGCAGATCCATACCCCAGGCAGTCTTCAAGGCTGACGAGAGGCCCGTCCTGATATGGTAAGTGCGTCATCTCGGGGGAAAAGAATGACAAGGAAACCCTAAGTTTAGCAATCCATGGGCGGTATCTCGTTGTCCCCTGGGTCCTTTGACCCCTTCGCTGACTTTAGGAACGGATGAAGCCTGTTCTTCGACGCTTTGCCGAAGAAATGCGGTCCATTATCTTGGACCCGTTCGTACGTCACGCGAAGGAAGAAAAAGGTCCTTAAGAGGAACTCAAGGATGAGACGCAGGATTTCGAGGAACCCGAGTTAATGAGAAAAGAAAAAATGAAATGAAAATCTCGACCGTGCCAGACTCCGAGAGAATTTCGAAAACCTTCGGCCTTTCCGTTCGTTCCGATCAGCTGCAAGGCTGGTGAATGAAATCAAGAAAGCCATCGTGGACTTTTGTCTTCGACACGCGACTTGTAAATTACGGTACTCGGACAACAAAGGAATTGACTCAGCTGATTTCTCTGGCAAATGCAACGACCTCGCCGTCACGTGACGGGATATTTGCATATTTCGAAATTGCGTAAGCGGGAGTTCCATTCGTGAATCCCATCTCGTCACGTCGTCCAAGTGACATCGGATCGTTACCTCTGAATTATCATTGAAGTACCTAGAGGCGATCCGAATGCGCGATATCACTCGGACGGAGTTGCAAAGGAAAAAAATTAATTTTAAATATCTTTCTTCTGTTATGATAAATTTTAAATGAATACAACACGATGTCCCTCTCCGTAGCTCGTTTTTATTTCACGCACAGAATACATTTAGGGGAACGAGCTACGATATTTGGGTGAACTTACAAAATCTTTCATTTTATCGGTTAAGTGTTCCACCTTTAATTCTAATTACAACTGCGGTTAGTTTGTTGTATCTTGCCCTCCTTTGCTTTTCCGATTTTTCTTCCTAGCCGCGCCTCACGAGTTTACGTAACCCGTGAGTCTAAATTGCGATTTGCGTAAATGAAAACGCCCTTTTCGCGGAACGATCGCGTTTATTGCTCGCACGGCGATGAAAAAATGGCGTTCCGCAAAAAAAGTCCATTGTGTTGGACGCGTGAATCATTTTTTTTTTTTCCATTAGCACAAACAACGACGATGACAATGGTAGCTGGAATCGTTACGATTGATCTTCAAACGAGTACTTGTAATCTTACATGTCTATCTATAAATAAGTTTTTACACTAAAGACGACGGGAGCTGGAATTCTCCATTGGTTTATACTATCATAGCTATAATAAGCTCACATCTAACGAGAATCGTAATAAATGAAGTCCTTAAGGTATTACTTAATAATCCTTATACTCTATAATTATAAAATTTTGTCTATGTGTATAAAGCGATTGTTTCTTTAATTTATCACGAGCTTAAAATCTGCACTGCACAGAACACGCAGGAACTGAAATCCCTACTCTAGGAATAAAATAACCATCCTTAAAAATATCCGATGTCCTTTTCCCGTATAAGAGTATGAAAAATTAGTTATTACTTGAAATCGGTTAAAATGAGGTAAAACTTTACATAAAACCATGGTTAAAATTTGTGGAAGACAATTCCCTTACGTTCCGCGCGAGCCTCCAAATATAAAAGACAAGAAAAAGTAAAACGAAGATGCGTTTAACAGAATATAAATATATAACAAAATACAGATAACAAGTGACTATTTACAGGAACATATGGAATGTATCTTTGAGCAAGCTTAATTTTGTAATTTAACAGTAGGTAACTTATCATTTTTTTCAAGACACTTTATGTAGCATCTTTTATTTGCATATTTGATGTAGAATGAGAAAAGTCGCTTTTCGAAGGCTCCTTTGAATTTCTAATGGAAAAGCTGACTCTCCTTAAGACTGTTTTCGGAAGTGCTTTGGTTTCAAGGATGGCAGGAAATTCCTCTGAAGTGCACAAATCGTGAGCTTTCAAATTTGAATTGAATTTCGAGTTAACAAGAGATTTGTCATAATTACTCGAATCCACCTGTACGTTCTGCGAATTATTTCCCGGGAATAATTTTGATTTCTTCGAGCTACCAAATTGCACATTGTCTAAGAACTTAAGACGCTTCAGTCTGTCGAAACTGAACTTTTCCGGCAGACTTTGGTAGATCTGCTTGATTGAAAATTTGAAAGGATTCGAAGAACGGGAAAATGAGTTCTTTAGAATTTCCTGCCGATCTCGGTCAGACTGTCCAGTTTCACTTAAATCGACACTTCCCTTTCGACAAGTTTCCACCAAGGGTTCATTAGATTTATTATGAACATTGTTGGATTCGTCAACCGGTGATTCGACTGACTTTCGGAAATTCGTCCAAAGATCCGCGAAGGAAAGCGAACGACGTCTATTGAGCCCATCCTCGAAATAAGAACATTCAACCGAATTCTCAGTCTTTTCTTTCTGCCCAATAATACTATTCGAAAAAGACGAGCCTCGATTAGGTTTTGATTCCAAGTTACTCAAATTTCTTGGCTCAGAAACTGCAGAAGATATGGCTTTTCTAGCCAGATTTTCCGTGCTATCAGCCAACGACGATTTTCCACGAGACTCGTGGCTGTTCAATTTATTCAACAGTGGGGAATCAACCGACCTCTTTTTCGAATTCGTCGGACAATTCGATGATCCATAATCGTTCCTGGCCTGCAACGTATTGGTCAATCTCGAGGTCCATAAAACCCGCCGTGGTGAAGCTTCACATTTGCGTTTTACTCGTTTCCTCGTCAGGGACCGAATTTTCGAAGTTTTAGAGGCCTCGGACATTTTCGATGGCAAATTTGTCAAATCTACCGAATTTTCGGAAGAACGACTCGACTCTGATTTTCGCGATTTCGGTGGTGTGGATTCATTACCAAGAATTTCGTACAAGTTTCTTGGGAATACCTCAGAACAATTGGAGGACTTGACCTTTATCACCGACGACGAAATCCCTGGCCCCGAATTATCACTTTCCGAGGCGGTATTGAAAATATCCGACTCGGTCGAAAGTTTCAGCTTGACTTTTGGCTTCGACTTTTGGGAAAATCTCGGAGACCGTATCAGCGCCTCGAATTCGTTAAAAGCCTCTGAAGAATTCCGACCTCGTACCTTCGGTGAAAAATGACTTCTACTCTTCGGATTTTCATCCGCGATTGGAAATCTCGGTTTTCCGACAGTAGGCACTCGAGAATTAGCGCTATCTATCGATTTGTTCTCTTGCGGAGAATCTTCAACCGGACTGTTGAAAAAATTCAAAGCCGAAATAAAATCAGAATCTACATGAGGCTTTAACTTGACTCGCGTCTTTTCCGGATTTTCCGAGAAATCTGGCAAACGCAAACCGATCAGCTGTTCGGTCAATTTCGTGATATCCAGAGTTTCCATTTCCGACATTTTTTCCTCCGGAGGGAAGTTGAAGTTACTTCTCGGGCCATTATTCGGTCCTCGATAAATCTCCTCGTTTTCCGAAACTGCGGATATATTCGAGCCAGAATCTCTGATAGGATTTGCGGATAAATCCGTCAAGGAGTCCTGAGGAAAATGAAAACTCGTCGAGGTCGAATCTGCCGACGACTTCAACTTCACTCTGGGCTGCTTTTTCGAAATTCCTGGCGACAATATCGACAGGTCTGACAAATCGATAGCCTCCGAAGTTTCCTTGCCTCTCATTTTTTCCGGTGAAAAATTCATGGAATTCTCCAATTTCCAGATACGGTCCGAAACGTCGACTTTTCCAGAGAAGGAATTTCCCTTTCCAATGGAATTCAGAAAATTTTCGACGGATCGTTGTACCGAACCCTTCGAAAATTCTGCCGATTTTCCCCGCGCTTTCGACCTATCCGATGGATCGGTAGCAATCAATTTCGATGAACCGCACACTACCAATTCCTCATCGGAGAGCAAATCGCGTGACTTGAAGTTTTTCGCAGAATCCAGACAATTCACGATATTTTTCATGAATTTTGAGCGGCCCAAAGAGGGGGCACTGTTCGACCCTACGAAATTACAAAATCTACAGTTCGACCGTTTTCCGAGGGACGCGGAATTTTCTTCGAGGGTGGTCGATGACAAGACCAGCTTGCTGTCAAAATTGTCAAAAGAATTGTCCAGAAACTCTAAAGCCTCGCAACAGGGCGAAGGTGTCTTCGAATTTGCCCCCTTATCAATTTTTCTCTCTCGACAGAGAAGAATTTTCTCTTTAAGATTTCTCGTCAACGATCCAAAACCGGAGTTCGCCGCTTTAGACAATTTCGAAGGAACACTTTCCTTATCAATGATCGATGTGTTACCCACCAATCGGGACTTCTTCGAATCTCGATCGGACGTTTCCAATTTCGAAGATATCGAAGTTACGATTCTCGGGGAACATATCGACTCGGCAGGATAGATTTTCGTCCTCGAGAAATTATTTCGCCTGCAGTGGGGATTCTTCCGAAAAAGCGAACGGATTTTCGACTTGTCAACGATCTTCAACATCGCCGAAGTGAAGCTGCGTTTCGGCTTAACGCAAGTACCTTTTAAAGGAATTGACGGATTTTCGGAAAATTTAGACTCGGAAGGAGTTCCTACTCGGTTAGCCGATCGTAATCCGCTTATCTCAGCGATATTCGAAATTTTCTCTGATAATGAAACCTTCGACTTGTTCGACGAACTCGAGGAGGTAGAATATTCCGACATTTTTAAAGAATTCATCGTAGACGTTGAAAATGACGAATTTTTCCTCTCGACATTCAGCGAACCGTGGCTTACCGAGCCGAATTCTAATTCGTTCAACGAATTGAAGGATACCGAGTGATTTTCGAAGATCATCGAATACTCTCTGGTAATTTCAGATCTTTGAGTTTCGGCAGATCTCACGGATCGTCGTGATTCTTTCACTTTCACAGCCGGAGTGACTTCGATATCCATTTTCGGAACAATGGTCTCCAATTCGGAAATCGATTCTCGCGACGAAACCGGAGGGATTATATTTATTCTCAGAGAAGTAAGGGTTTCCGACTCAGAAACCGAGATTTGCGAGTTTAAATCCCTTTTAACATTTCCGTTAACAGATTCAATCCCTACCGTTTCACCTGCATTCGATACCGACCTTCTGGAAGTTCTCGAAGTTGCAGACTTTCGATGATCCTTCGACGATAGATCTTCAGAGTCCGGATCACTTGCAATTTCCTCTGACACGTTATCAGCTCGAGATCCTGGGAATAAATGTCCCAGTTAATTTAGAAATCTTTCCATATATCTTTTTTTAACAGTGAGAATTCCACTTTCTTACCTGCATTTCCAAAATCAGAACGATCTAGGGAATTAACAAATTGAAGGACATCCTCGGCTCTTCCCCCGTTTTCTAAGAATCTCTCTTCGTGAATATCTGGTCGATTCCCCCCTAAATGTCCTGCAGGATTCGGCTGGCCACTACTTCGTCCTGGAGAAGGATCATCCGCCTCGGAATGTTGATTCGGCCTGTGTTCAACCGGATGATTATCTGCAACAACTTTCGAACACCCCGAAGGTATCCTGAACTCTCTCGATAATTCCGTAGGATTCCGTGAATCCTTCGGTGATCGTCCTGGAAGATTCGATGCCCCTCCATTAGTGCCCGTTCCAGGACCATTAGATTCAAGGACATCGTTCGCATTATTCCCAGATAATGGTGCACCGTTGACCTCGCCTGGACCTCTTCGCAGTCTCCTGGGAGGTCTCTCGGGAGGACATTCCCGGATATCCTGCGCATTCCTAGGTGATCGTCCAGCAGGATCCGCCCGTTCTCCATTTTCAGCATCCAGGACATCCTTTCCACGTTCCTCGAGGGACTGCTTCCGGGGGCCCCTGGGGGAGTTTCTTGACGACATCCTGTCAGCTCTTCGAAAAGGACACTCCTGGATATCCTGCAAACCGCTGAAGTGATTTCCTGCAGCGTTCGATTGTCCTCGATCCCCGGATTTGGCGGCACTACTCCCTCTCCCGAAGACGTCCTTACCCGCGATCCTATCCGGACCTTCGGGCGAGGTCCTAGGAGACCTCGAGGACCTCTCCCTCGTAGATCGAGGAGTCCTCGGCCCACCTTTCTGGTCCTTGAAATTAGTAGGCCTCGAATCCAAGGATGTCCCACCGGGCAAATCGAAGGCCGAGTCCGGCGGTGCTCTGCACCTCGAAGGTTTTATCCTTCTACCACAGGAGGTGATTTTTGTGCACCTTGACCTGCTGACCTCGGATATCCTCAGGGTGATTTTCGCCGGCGGGACGCACGATGTCGACGATGAATTTTGGCTCGATTTTAGGGACCTCTCCTTACGACTGCTTTCGATGAATGAGGGAAATTTTCCACGCTTCCGGTTATCTATTAACAGTGAAAATCATTTTATAAGCCAATCATTCTTTTTTTAGGCGGTTTTTATTGAATGTTCGTCTCACCGGCTCTCTCCTTGTTGCGGCACAACCAGGGCATCATGCAGACGGCGAAGACGCTGAATGCACCTGCACTGCCCGCCACGAGGACCATCCTCGAAACGTACTCTTCGGTTGCATCAGGTGGAGGCATCCGTTGCAGCTGCAGAATTCGGCGCCCTGCGCCGCATGCCGAAGACGCCGCTTCGAGATTGACCGATCTTCTTTCTTTCGCTTCCTCATTTCAACTGACCCCGATCCGAGGACTTCTCGCACGTTCCTCGACAGTTGAAATTCAAAGGGTCACTCGAAATGATAAACAGAGCGACGAGGCACCTCGCATTTCGCCCAAGAAATCCCGAACTTACCTTTGTTTCTCCTGACAACAGGAGAGGTTCGATCCGACTGTCAACAATTCTCCTCGAATTTATAACGTCAAGGTGATATGAAAGAGCCTATATACATCTGATAAGTCAAATCGCCGGTGAAAGTATTCCCCGAATTGGGTTTGCCGATTCGTTCGAAATTTTACCACGTTAATATGGAGAGCCTAAAGTAATTCCTGAAACTCAGGAAATTTCATTTTTCATAGAAAATTTATTTACTTCTCGTGGACTAGAACCAACATGACGTGGGCAGTGCACGTTTTCGCTGTTTTACGCTTCTTGGAGGCTTAGAATTGAAAATCAAGAGTTTCAGGACATAGCTCGAACAATTTAGAATATCTTAGATACGGAATATTACGGAGTGATATGGGAAAATATAGAAAATACTTTCGCCAACGATTGCAAGAGAATGCTGGCTTGTCTCGGGGCTAACACGTGTTTTTAGAGAAAAAATTTAGTTGTAGCTAAACGTCACAGATGGCGACGTTGGTCCTAAAGAGTCGTTGGAATAATGAATTCACGAGATTTCGACAGTTTTACGTCGATCTCTTTATCATTACTTTACCGAAATGACATATGGAACGCTTCAGTTCGTATAATCATCAACGTGGACTGTAAAAGACTTCAGCATAAATATAAATGTCGGTAACGCGACGCGCCAGCTTATGTTCCCACTTGTGTATTCAAAATGGCGTTCCCACCAAAAAGGGTACAGATGAATTTCAATTTATCGACCTCGACTAAATTTCTCAGCGCCTTTCATATCATCTTAAATCCTCGAAATTAAGTTACAAGTCCTGAGAATTGTCAAATAACGTGGCCAATTTTACAAATCATCCGAAATGTCGAACATTCTTTCTAAATACCATTTTAGGGCAGGGATATTTCTACGGACGTTTCTCCGCGTCATTTTTAATGGACATCCTCTGTAACGTAACATTTCGTAATAATTAGAGGTTTGTAGGAGTTAGAGGTACGAGTCGCGACTAATACCCCAGTGTGGAGATATTTGCATAAACTTTTTACCCCAAGCAATTTTCCCCTCCTCGCCACCGAGATATTCTAATAATTAGGGGTCGTCGAGGGAAAGAGAATGAAGTAATTGACGCAATCGGGTGGTAAACTTCCGCCGAGGCCTTGGCCTTGCACTTTTATTAGCTGTAAAGGAAGGAACGGCACGTTAAGAATGCGGCCTTGTAATCGTTGTCATTACGTAAACTTCCATGTGATCCCGTCGAAAGAGATCACAATGGCAACGCAACAGCCTCTTTCGAAAAATTATTAAGATAAATATTCTCCCCTGATAATAAACATATCAATGAATCCTTGAAATGGTATGAAAAGGTCCTTCTATATATATATATATATATATATATATAAAACGTCAAAATATTTAAAAAACATTTCTCCAAACCGAGTTCACCGAATCATTTGAAACATCAGCACATGATGACGTTTCAAATGATTCGGTGCATCCAGTTTGGAAAAAAGTTTTATAAATATTTTGACGTCTTATATATATATATATATGTAGAATGACCCTTTCATATCACCTTAAAATGCGGAATCATTTATATGTTTCTTTTAACACTAGACCCACCATTGGCCTGTCAAATGCCCGTTTTTAAATGGTATTCATAATGGGGTTATAAATAGTCAGTTCGTTCAGTGATGAAAAGATCACGTCAGCGGTTTACGTCATCAGTTTTGGAAAGCATTTTTTAAAAGTGCTGTTACTCGGCGTTTGATTTTTTTTCCCTAACTGTATATGCTAAGTGGCACAGCTAGGAATGAAATCGATGACACTCGTTTTCGCACGTCATCGAGAACGAAAATACATCGCGAATGTTGTAACTTGTCGATCCCCGAGGAAATGTTCGAAGTCATTTGGACGTCATTCGGACATTCTAGGGCAATGACGTATTAATTGGCTGACGACAATTCAGAGTTCCCCTGGCCATAAGGAAGCCGTTTAGACCTGGGAAAAAAGCAGAAAAAAGGAAAAAAGTAATTGCGGCACTTTGCGGTTTTTCTCTCCAATGACACCGAAGAGACGTTAGCCTATTCCTAAGGTGCAGCTGCAACAGCAGCAACGATGACAAGATTTGTCATCGTTCCCAAAACTCGCAGGACAAATCTTGCGATCGTTCCTGTTATCAGTCATCGCTCGGAAAAAGATTACGACCCCGAAGGCCTGAAAAGTCATTTTCCTAGGGACGTGGAAGAAGAAGAAAATCTCGAGAAATCTTGGAATTGGCATTTAATTATAATGCAATATTTACTGGACACTCGACGACGATTACCAGGAGAAGCGATCGCCGTGTGAGTTCCACGGGACTGGTTTTAATTAATCGAATTAAATAAGCCAAGGCCAGTCACTTCGATCTGTACGCATGCATAGCCAAGGGTATTAATTAGTATCGCGACTTGTGCATGGCGCGGCGTTCATGTCGCTCCTTACGGGCACCGTAAGTGTTACCTCTTCCGACTTAATCGCCGCCATTAAAAGGAACGACGTGGGAGTCCCGATCGCGAGATATGTCCACCTGGTTAACGACTTAATGGCCCTCGCCTGAGTTGAGCCTCGAAATTTCATCTCCATGAGAGCCTACGATACGTGAACAAATTATAATCCACTGTATAACCACGCGGCATGTACAAGGATACCGCGATTATGAGTCCATATCGACATACACTGAAATACAGGAAATAAGGAATTTTCCAGGAATGTTTCCGTCTGATCGAAAAATTCTGTATCTACTTATCATAGAAGAGGAGTACTCGGATTATATTCAAGGCATGTGAGCATTTATTGGTAATGGCTACACATGTGTTTATACGACTAATTGGTGTTAAGGTGATATAAAAGGATCATTCTATATATAAAAATCCGAAAATAATTATAAAACTTTTCGCCGAACTGAGTGCACTAAATCATTTGAAACTTCCCCACGCGATTATGAAGGCCGTAAAGAGAAGATCGTGATTCTCGTTGAATTTAATGTTTGAAAAGAACATTTTTTTTATTTATCCCATACTAGGACCAAGAGCACATTTTCTTGTGAAAAATGAAATTACACGAGCATCGGGTTTTTCCTTAGGGCCTCCACAACCACGTGCTGAAGTTTCAATGCACCCAGTTTGAAGAAAAGTTATATATATAATATAATATATATTTTTTAACGTTTCATATATATAGAATGTCCCTTTCGTATCACCTTAATTTTATGTATATCATGAGTTTGGAATTATTTCGGAGATATTTAGTCTCGGCCGTCCGTTTCGGCTCCAGCGCGATCGGTCTCGGCTAACTCTCTACCAAATAGACGGAGAGCGGTAAAGGGAGAAAGAGAAGGATAATGAAAAAAGAAAATGCCAGGCTTAGTAGAGCAACAAGGCCTTGACTCGCAACTCCACGCCCACATCCGCGCCGCGTCAACCAGGGAATGTGTATCCTGCACGTTTATTGTCCTAGCTCGCTCCCGACAAATTTCCCCTCGGTCATTCAGGACTTTCAGGTCCTTTCGGCACGTCTGGTTCAGCCTGAAAATCGCGGCTGAATTAGACAGGAAAATCACCGTCGAATCCTCTCAAAGGATGCAGAATGGCCTCGCACCTGTTCGGAGTCAAAGGACCAATTTTTCTGGACTCCGATAACGGCTACGCGATAATTGATCCGTCGTCCTTTCGTGAGGTTTAATCCCGATAAGCTTCTGAATCACGCCGCGTGAATGCGAATGTGCAGTTGCACCTGCGAGCCAATCCCGCAACGGTGCAACGACGCCCCCGTCGCGGTGCAGATTCAGTGCGATCTAATAACCGGTCCAATCGCTTCGATTGTACCGTTGCCGTTCAATGATCGATCCGATCGCAGTCAGCTGCAGCTGGCGGTGCAACCCCTTTGATAACAGCGATCGGCACTTTTCTTTGTTCACGGGTTCCCCCTTGCTACATATGGAATCCTTCGGAAAGCATTTTCCGCGGGCATACGATTGGCTATGACGTCTGCGTTAATTGTTTTCTCATTATATTATTTTTCCCGGCATTACGGGGTAGCAGTTCTTTGACTCTCCGACTGCAGCGCTGGCGTCGCTCCTCGTGAATTCCACCCAAATGGCTCTTTTCTTTGTTTGAAGATCGTTTCTCCCTCACCATGTATGAAATCTCTAATAGAGCATTTTCCGTAGTTATACGATTTAGTGCAATGTCAGAATGAATTGTTTTTTTCATTACATGATTTTTTCGGGTTATTTCTTGGTAGCAGTTCTTCGACTCTCCAACTAAAGCGCTGGTGTCGCTCCTCATGAATTCCACGCTCACGCGCCTCCACTCGCGCGGTACTTTCCGATCGGATTATTGCCAATCGCATCTATCTCGGCCTGATATACGACATGCAAATCTAGAGTACCGGAGCGAGGAGTGCTTTAATTTAAAAAATGAACATATTTTCCTGCGGTGGAATTCGAAAGAAAAAAAGAAAAACGCCGGTAGATCGCTCCATTGAATGTTATTCGAAGTCTTGAGATTTCCGCTCGAAGTCGGAATCTTTTTTTTTTCTCTCTAAAATGCCATCAATGTGCAATGGGATTCCTGATATTGCAACATCTCTGTTATCAGACTTCGAAATGACATTATCAAGACTTGCAAGAGAGGAGAGAGAGAGTACCAAGACTCCCACGGTAACTAATTACCTCAGCCTGATTACCCGCGAGAAATGTCGTCGCAATAACGTCGTAATCCCGTCACTCGTCGATAACAAACTTGCTGATGGATACCTGATCGAACAGAAATCTGTAAACATCGGCTCGGTCTAATGAACAAATTAATCGCGGGTACTTAGCCTCGCCGACTTTTATCGACTTGCAATCCCAGGAATGCCGATTGAAATTACA